CTTCAACTAATTTATCTTCAAAGTATTACTGTGAGGTAAAGGGGAAAAGCCTCAGATATTAAAGTTAAAAGTATTCAATAATTGTGGGCACCCAATCTGAGATACCCAGAAGAATGTAAGAATACTTATTATTTGATATTTCAGATGTTTAAAGCACAGCTTTATTTACCAGAGCTGGAGCTTTGAATGCTTATCCCACTAGGCCTTGGGGTCTCAAGCCAAACATCCAGGAAGTGAGAATACCAATATCTGTTAAAAATTTGGCTTAAGTAACTATCCCAGCATCATGTAGTTACTGTGTAGACAGAATCCAGAGCAGGGATGTCAAAGAGACAGTCCACCAACCAGTTTCAGCCTGCAGAGTGCTATTACCAAGCCCGCAGTGCTGCCCAGGGACCTGACTGGACTGACACACCACTTCTAGACCATCCCAGACTGGCTCATGTACTGCATGCTGTACACACTGGCTAGGGGCAGACATTACACATAAACCAATTTAAGTGACCAGAAACTAGTTTAAACCTGTAACAGAACAGATGTTCAGTGCACATAAACCAGTTTGAAAATAGCTGAAACCAGTTTGAGATAAACCTGGTTGAATGCAGTATCAGACTTAACTGATTTGGCTCAAACCAGTTTATACAATGTCTGTCCCTGACCCCTCGCTGGTTTAAGATAAACCGGACACCCCCAGAGTCCCAGTATGCTCTCTGGGCTCGGTGGGGCTCTCTGCTCCACAGCAGGGCTGGCCCCTCCCCTCTGCTCCCTGGCTGCAGCTCAGCAGAGACTTGCAGGCACAGCAGCATCAGCCTGACTTCTCCCTGCTAAGCAGGGATTATTCCCCCCTCCCCTATTCCTTACACAGACACCTCAGCATTAACTAGCAGACCACATGCTGGCTATGGTCTGTGCTGTGGGAGACAACTAAGGCAGACGGGCTTTTCGGAGCTAATCAACAGGTAGCTTAATGCCCTTCCTTGGAAAAGCTGTTTAAGAAGAGCTGTTTGCTCCCCACTCCCCCTCACCACTCCCTGCTAAGCAGGAATCCCCCCTCCCCTCTGCCTTGCCGAGAGGTGTCTCCATCTTAGCTAGCAGACCACATGCTGGCTATGGTCCCTGCTGAATCAACAGGTAGAATCAGCAGGTAGCTGGTAGTGTCCCTCTGTTGTTTTTTTAATGGGGTGATAAACACTGAGTTAGGGGGTGGTAAACACCATTATCAATTCCCTGCTGGGCTAATCAGAGCATCCTGCCAGGGTCTGGCCACGCCCCTGACTCAGCTCAGTACTGTACAAGGGAAGGGAGGGCTGCTCTAGCACCCCCCAGCTTCTAGCCTGAGCCACTGCAGGCGTGTGCCAGCATGTCTGGGATGTCTGTTCAGTTACAAAGTGATTTAACCTAGCCAGGTTAGACTAACCTGCAAAGATTGAATCAATTTAGGCTCAGGCTTTTTGAATGTCTGTCCCTAGCCATTGGCCCCAAGCTTGCTCACTGCATACAGTGAGGCCAGTTGGGGCCCACACTGCCAGGTGAATGCAGGGCTCATTTGTGGGCCTGTGAACTGGTGCCACACCACTTATCTAACCTGTGGGGCCTTATGAGCCATTTGATATACCTTCCCTAGAGCATCATTCATTTATCTTAACAATAACAAGCTTTTTCCCCCTGAAAAAGCCACCACTACACACTTCCCAGTTTCTGTAACTAATGAGCCTGGTTTCCTATGAGCAAGTCTTTTTCACTACACAGTCCAGCCTCCCATTCAGAGGTGTACAGTGAATGAAGTGTGTGTGTGTATGGGCGGGGGGAAGGTCCCCTCTAGCACCCTCTACTCTTTGTCCTTCCTTTCTCATTCCCAGTTTTCTTCTTCCTCAACACAGTTCCTCCTAAGATTAAACCCTGCTCTAGTCACATTTGCTAGCTAGTTCAAAGTCTTCCCCACAAAGGTCCTTCTTCTGCTCTGTTCTAGCGCAGTGCCAGATCTTGTCCCTCTGCATTTGAATCAGACAGCTTCATAACTCCATGCAGCTAGGGCCCAGCAGATGCACAGAAACCATCTCTTTTGTGGTCCTGTATGTTCTCAGTTCAGGGACTTGGTTCTGAGAGAGCTGCATGTGATGGGGAAGTCCTGCTCAGACTGAGTTAGGGAAAGACCAGTGCAGATAGAAGCTTTGAAGGTTTCAGCTATTAAACTCTAACAAGTTACTACTACTGAGCATATACACATGGATTTTAAGGCCATCCCAACCTCGTCATAACTTAGCCAAATAGGAATGGACTTTAACAGAAATGGCATACGGCATCTTCCTGAAAAAGCCACCCCCTGCCAAATTCAAGTCCCTTGCCTAAAACCTGGCCTCAGGAATTTTAAATAGATAAAATGTGATTCCCCCTGCCAGTCTCATACGAGAAACAGTGACACAAGTCAACTGATATGGCTAAAATGTTCTGCAAAAATTCAGGCTGAGGCAATTCCCAGTAGGGAAAGTGTTAGCTAAATGGCAAGTCCTGCAAAATGAGAAGCAACTGAAAATAGGGTTTTATACTGGAAAAGATCAAGCAACCTTACTAATAGGTAGTGTGATCAGTCCAAAGTATAATGATGGAGGGACTGAAGCCAAGCCAAAGCCTGAATATAAATAAATACTGTGTTTCTGAGCTCTGTGTGTTTTCCACCTCCTTCAAGCGCTGCATGTTATTACAGCTCATGGGTCACAATTATGTGGAGGGCTCATTGAGAATCCCAGGGGGCCCTTGGACATCTTTAAGTTTGGTTACTTTCTTTTATCCACCCATTAAAAAAGAAGATCTAGATCATATGACAGAAATTCAAGGATTTAAACTGCATGTAAATCGATGTGTGACATCTAAATCTGCAGGCAGGCTAAAATACCAGATATGAGGAGATATGTGAATGGCCTCATCCTGCACAATCAAGGCTATGCGGCCACAGAATTTTTGTAGTCTGGACAAGTAATGGAAAAACTGATACTAGATGGGGATATTATGCCTGTCATTATAGTTTTATGCAAGGCAGGTCTTGTCAACCAAGCCTATTTCATTTTCAGATGATATTGCAAGTTTGATTGTGAGAGGATCTGCATTGATGTAATATACTTAGAATGTTATAATGTATTTAACATACTGAGATTCTGATTTTAAAAAATGCAGTATCAAAACACTTTACATGAATGAAGAACTGGGTAATCTATCACAACAGGGGGGTTTCAATAGAAAGCTGTCAAGTGACAAGTCATATGATATACATATACATACACATACATACATAGAGAGGGAGAGTGTTCAATAGGAAGATATCACTAAAATGAGACACCCCTCCCAAAACACAGCCATCAATGCCTATAGATATCTATCTATGAGTCTATATTTGTATTTAGACACCCCACAATATAGAGGGGGTGTCTCATCTTAGTGACATCTTCCTATTGAACTCACTCATATTATATATTATATAATATATTGAACCCATTCATATTATAAACACTATGCACACACACACGGCAGGCTTCTTCCCTTCCGTGTGCCTTCATTCACTATCTGTACAATGGGAATAATAATAATACTGATCTTTATAGATGTGCTTCAACATCTACTGATAATAAACATTATATAAATGCTGAGGGAAAAATGGTTAGTCAGTTCTCTTTGTCAGGCATAAGAAAAAAAAAAAGTTGCCAGAGACAGATAACCAAGTTAGGAGAGCTCCAAGTGCTGTAGCTGATGAAATCACAAATGAAAGATGGATGGACAGATTCACTCTTACCTGCCAATCTTGTCACCACCTCAATGTCCTAAAACATTATTTATTAAATACTAAGGATTTTTTTTAAAAGTTCTCTATATTAAGACAATGAGAGTGTTTTCACAAAAACAAAAACTCATATCAGTGCCCACCAGCCATTTGGCAGCTTTTGAAATAAGTCTGTATAAGGCAATTCTGGTATTATTAACACAACACTGGAAACATCTCAAATACGCCTTTCTTTCCTCAAAATCCACTGAGTGTTACAGAACCTGAGAACTTTTAAAAACTGTATATGAATTTCATGGAATAAAACTGATTTTGAGGCAACAGGTAGCTAAGCAAGCAACTAAATAAATACAGTATTTATTTATTTATTTTAAGGAAATAAGTTAAGGTAAAGCATTAAGCTTAAAAATTTTTCTAAACTCTGTATCTCAAAAAGCTTGTGAAATCTCCTTTCTGGTGAAAGGTGTAGTGATAGAAATTGTCATTTGGCCATGTGTTTAAACTTTACAAAAATGAGAAGTTCCCCATTTCAGAGAAGAGATCAAGGTGATATTTATAATGGCAAACAAATCTTATTAGTACTCTAACATATTAAGATTATTAATAAACAAATTGTGCCCTTTGTTGATTATTACTGTTTTCTTTTTAGAAGACAGCCGAGTCAGCTGTGGGCATCCTAGAATTAAAGAATTGTAATTTATCTGCAAAAAGCTCTCTTGACACGTAACCAAATTTGGCCACTCTTCCTAATCACTAAAAATGTTGGAGAAAATGTTTTCAGAAAGATTTTTTTCCTAAACACAGATGTGAATAATAAAGTTAAAAAACCATTATGCTCTTGTGCATATCTTGATTAAGTCTTGTGAACTGATTTTACATCTGCACAGAAGTTAAACCATTTAATTATAGTTTAGAACTAGTGGCTCTATATGGAAATAACTTATTTAATGACAGATACCAATTGGGAATGTTTAAACATATGTTTCTGTTTAAGGAGCAAGACAAATGCAGTTAGAGCATTTTCATTCAATGAAAGAAAGATGAATATATGACTTTCATTTTAGTAATGTAATGCATACCAGCTTTGATAATATTTGTGACAATTTCCATAATAGACTACTGACAGAGTATGAATTCAAACAGAAGCCAGAAAAAAATCAGTTGGCTCTACAGTGGCAATACCATCATAGAGACCGCATTAATACCTGAACAAATATTAAGTACTCACCTGCAATAAGTATGAACTCCCTGGGTCTGTGCTGGCAGACTCATTTTGCATTGTATTCTGCAGGGTAATAGAATCTTCCTTCTTACGCTCCTTCTGTCCTGCTTCATCATCATCATATTCATCTAGACTCTGATAAAACAAACAAACAAACACAAATTGTGTATTTTCTTAAAAACTGCATTTGTAAGAAGCCTACAAAAATAAATTGAAACAGACTGGTAAATGTATGTCACTGTGCTGATACGGGAAACTTAACATTCGCATTTGAAAGTAATTTGATTGATTAGGTATGTGGGTCCTAAAATGGTTATTGGTGAAAATAATTTAAATACAAGGAACAAGACTAATGACTTATTTTTCCTTAGTACTACTACAAAAAGGATATTAACATACTAATTATGTTAATTAATATATGAACACCCCCGATTAACATCAATACCTGGGAGACTTGAACACTTAATTGCCCCCACTGGCACTGATGTACAAGACATTGATCATTTCAAACAAACATGCCTGTTGTGGAGGCAGATAGATGAGAGAGACAGAAGGAAACAAACAGCTGTCACCTGACAACACCAAGACCTAACTTCTTTCTAGAACCGTTTGCCACATCTGCAATCAAACATGTAGGTCTTGGATCAGCTTCCTGCATCATCTACAGATTCACCAGTTCCTTCCTTATTTACTGGAAGACTGTCATCTTCATATCAAGGGAATACCACCGATGGTGATGATTACAAAAAAGCTAGTGAAATTCACTTTTTTTTCAAGCAGCATTGGTATGTCTGTATAAACCCACTAAAGCATAGGTCTGCAGCCTCTGGCCTGTGAACAGGCTGGATCTGGTTCGTGGAAGAACGAGGGGGTGAGGAACGAGAAAAGGGAAAAATCAGCAGCATACAGTGGCAGGGGTACCTTCTCTGCCCTGAATTCCTGTTGCATGCTGCCAGCCTCATCTCCAGCCTCCAGCAGCCACCCCAACCCTCCCTAGCTCTGTCTTAAGGACTGGTCTCTCTCCCTCATTACTATAGCTTCTGTTTCCCCTTGCTGTCAAATTTGCTACTATCCATCACTGATGGCTACAGAAATTAGTGGCATTAAAGTGCCAAGGGTAAGCAAAGACTACAGAAGGGGAAGGGGAACAGAGAGAAAGAGCAGGTGTTGGCACCAAGCCAGGAGCAGGGCACTGTGCATGGGCCATTCTTAAAGGCTATCGACCCTACATTCATGGAAATGAGAGGAAATGTCAAGAAAACAAAACAGAATCAAACCAGCACTATAGGCTTAACTCACTACTGGGCCTTACTTTCAGGCACAGCAGTGTTTGCTAAGATCAGAATGTTAACCTGAACTTTCTGCTTAAATTACTACCTTCCTTGCTTTTGGCCATTTCCTTTGCACTTCTAATATTGTTTTTTAAAGTGTAACTTTGCTTAGGCTCTATTTCTGTTCTGTTATGGCAACTGGGTATTCCTTCTCTGCAAACCCTCATTAGTATGTATTGGGAACTATTTGTGCCTCTTGTTACCTTTTGTGGCTAGTGTGTAAATAATGCAAAGGGCCAGCTGTATCAGATTGGTGTGTCCAGTTGCTTCCATTTCAAAATTGTGGATGGTATAGGCACACACCTGCTGCAAAGCAAAAGTTGTGCAAAGGTTACCAAGGGGTCAGCACTCGCTGTTAACTGTGCAAAGGTCTGAAGTGGAGTGGCACTCAGATCCAAGATGGTATGTGAATGAGGATCAAGAAAGACTCCAGACAAGAGTTACTCCTTGGATTGCAGCTGGCCATTGATCCTCAAAGGGAAAATGCCTCTAGGTACAAGTTTGTACAGGGGGGTCCAAGTACAAATCTACTACCCACTAATTCCTGAAATAGCTAAAATCCCTGAGCCAACTATCAAGAAGCAGCGATCCTTAACAGTGACTAAGCACTGACCCTGGCACCAGTGAGGAGCAGCAATTAATCCCCAGAAGCAGCAAGCAACAGCATTCCTGAGCAGTGGCAGACTCCAGTGTGGGCCTCCCTACCTGGCTTTTGCCACTTTGGCTGACATGGGTGGTAGAGCCACCCCTGCCCCTATGATATAATCCTGGGTGAGTCTCCCTTCCCTGAACACTGCACTAAGTAGTTCTTCCCCTGGATATGTGTAGCTGTGACTGCCATAGTGGGAGTTTCAGCTAATACTTAACAGATGAGGGGGTTTTTTGTGTGTTTTTTAAAGGCTGTGGGTTGCCCTCTTTAGTAAACCTTAGTATTGCTTATGAGTAGATAAGTTTGTTCACTTTGGAACATCCTGTTTAAATTTATTTTCCCAGGTTTTTGGGTGGAGGCTCAAGTCAAAATGCAAGGTTTATGTAAAATCTCTGAGTTTGAACTTTTATTACTGCCATCCAGTGCCTGGAGGCTGGATTACAAGTGTTCTGTTTTTGTGATAAGATTTATAAACCACATAGGCCAGCAAAGAACTAGAGTAGGTTAAACTAGAGTACTGGGGAAAGAAGGAACTTGTAGCAACCAGTCAAGGATCAGCCTCAAGCTCAGTTTCCAACGGAGATTAAAAGGAGGGCTAGGATAGTCAGAAAGGTACTCTCTCTACCTGAAGGGAGCTTCAGATTGAAAACTGAAAGAAAGAAGAGAAAAAGAGGACTATGTGCTCTTGTTGCAAAGGCCAATGGTATACTAGGTTGTATTACATAAGAACACCACTTAAAAATAAGGGAAGAGATTCTCCTGCTATATTTGGCACTGGCCTGGCCTCACCTAGACTACTGTGTCCAGTTTCAGCCCCCATACTTAAAGAAATGTGCGAACAAATTAGAAAGAGTCCATCAGAGTCACAGAAATTATTAGAGACCTGGAAAACATGACTTAAGGAAAGGCTGGAAGAACTAAGACTAGTCAGGAAAAGAAGAGACTGAGGGAGGATTTGATAACAGAACTTGAATAACTTAAGGGTGGTTATATGAAGGGTGGAGATTGGACTATTTTCTGTGGCCACAGGGAGCAATGGTCTTAAATTGCAGGCAGGAAAAACTATGTTAGATGTCAAAAAGAAGGATGGTTAAGCATTGAAACAGGCTACCCAAAGAGGTTGTGGACTGTTTCCTTGGATCTTTCTAAGAGCAAGTGAGTAGAGCATTTAACTAAGATGACCAGTCAAAGAAAATCTGCCTTGAGCA